CATTCACTGGAAGACAAAGGACAGAAAAACTAAAATCCTGAGGCAAAGCTAGTGCTAAATAGAAAAAAAACCCTCTTATACTGAAGAAAACAAACACTGACACAGATATAAAACGAAAAAGAAACCCCACCAAACACCTCAGCATTCAGAAAACAGCAGTATCTACAAGGCTAGATAAATTTAGGAGAGAAAATGCAGCTCTTATGTCTGTACTTCTCCATGGACCAAAGTTCCACTGTGTGAGAAAAACTGATAACACAAGCTGAGCACCAAAATGAACTCTGGGCTCAGCGATGACAGTTTGCAATAATGAAACAGAAAATGAAAAGAAAGGTCACTACAGTCATTCTTGGGACCTCCTGTAAGGTTGCCCCCCAGAAGAGACTCTGTACCTATTGCCACATAGTAGAACACGTAAGAAATGGCAGTTCCTAAAAAGAGAGAGTCAATGAAAGTGTGCGAGACAGAAACAACGATCAAGAGGACAGAATCAAAAAGTTTAAAAGAGAAACTCATGCTCTATATGGAGATAATACAAGCAGTGAAAAAAATCCTGCTTTCTAAGCACTGAAGTGGGAGAGCAGAGCAGAGCTGAGGTGTTACCGCACCCGCAGCAAAGGTGCCGCTGCCTAATCTATTGCCCAGGAATGCAAAACAAAAGATCCAGGTGAGCGAGCGCACTCGGCGGCTCGCTCCACACCTTCGCATCTCCTCTGCAAAGACATAAAACTTGCTTTGCAGAAACACATTTACACTGAGRGCGATAAACAGTTTCCAGGATTCTGGCTTCTCACGTTCATGTAACAATATTCAAGGGCTCAACACCACGGTCGTGTTTCCGAGCTGCCAAGAGCTCCCCGAGCTGCACGTCGGGGCTGTGATTCCGGATTCGATGTCATTTTGCCCCTCWCACACCAAATCCGCCGAATCCACCCCCCTGTTTTGCAAGTCATACGAGCACCGGGAGCTCTCCCCGAGCCCGTAGGCGCCGTTAGGAAGTTCCAACCCCTCCYGGCCCCGAGCAGCGCCGGACTCGGGGCGCTCCAGCTCGCCAAACCTCCCTTTCATTCACCTTTCGCCGCTTCCTTCAGCGAGCTCCCAACTCCACACGCGAGCCCAGCTCTCCCCAGCTCTGGGGCCTCAGGRAAAGCCCAGCGAGCCCAGGGACMGCACCGTTGCCACCCGCGGGARGGGAGGTACCGGYGGCCCCGCGAGGCAGCCGAGGGGTTTCTACAGTTCCCGGGGGGCACCTGCACCAACCACCAGAGCCGGCGGGACCCCGGGCCGCTGCCTGGGGCCGGGGGGCTGCGCTGGCCCGGCCCCCAGCCCAACCGGGACCTTCCCCGGAGGACCCAGGGGAGCGGAGGGCAGAATGGAGCGAGCACGGTGCCTTCACTCATTACCGCACGGTCGGCACCGRGGCCACCAGCGGGGCCACCAGAGTACAGCACGGCGCTGTCCCTTCCTCCGAGCCCAGCCCGCGCCCCGCTACATCCGCCCGCCGAGCCGCACCCGCCCTTGCCTCACCTCAGCTCCGCGCAGCCCCGCCGGGAGCGCAGCGGGGCCGCCGCGGCCCCCGCGCCCTCCGCCCCTGCCCGGCCCCGGCCCGGCGCTGCCGCCGCTCCTTTGTGCCGAAAGATGGAGGCGACTCACGGTGCGGCCCCGCCCCGGCCTCAGGCCCCGCCCTGCCCGCAGCCGCGCCCCCCGCCGTCTCCCGGGCGACCCGCCCCGCCCCCGGCCCCKCCCCCGGAGCGAGCGCTTCGCCCAATCGTGATGCGGGACCGCCGTGACGTCATCTCGCCAGCCAACCCCCGTGCGCTCCGCGCGCCGCGCTGCCTGCCGTAAGAACGGCGGTGATTGGCTGCCGCGGGGGGCGGGGCCGCCGAAGGAAGGGCTCGCTGGGTTGGCTGTGGCGGGCGGAAGGGGCGGGGCGGTCGGCGGAGGGGAGCGGGGTCAATGGCGGCGCTGCGGGCCCGGCGGTGCCGCTCGCTGTGAGGGGTTGCGGTACGTGCCGGGGGCGGGCCCGGGGCGGCGGGGCCGAGGGAAGCGCCCGGGGGCGGGGAGAGCGGCCGTGGACGAGCCGCGGGGCCCTTCTGGTGCGGGGGTGAAGAGGGCCGGGCCTGGGCCYTGCGAGCGCGGCGGGCCGGGGGCCGCTCTCGGGATGAGGGGCTGGAGGGACGATGGGGAGAGGAGATCGCAGTGAGGGTTCGGAACAGCCCGAGCCCGGCACTCCCGAGAGGGTCACCCGCACCGAGCTCCGTGCGCACCGCAGGAAGCGGGGCCCGGGGGCGGGTCCAGGCTGATGGGGAGCGATTCATCCCCTCCATCTCTGGGGCGGCTCCAGGCTCGGCACGCAGCGCTTTATTTGATGTGCTGCGGGGGTGCGGGGAGCGCTGCCCGAGATGGTTYAGTGGTGGGTTGATGAATTGGGTTGGTAAAATAATGTCTGTTATTTAGTAAGGGCTGAATGTAATGGAAGATGCTGCACACGGGTACACAAGACTGGGTGCTCTACATCTGTTCCGGCCTAGGTGRTGGCAAGACTGTGAAGTTTGGGAGGTTTATTGATCCTGGGGGTGTTACCATCTGGCATTGTAAAAACCTGCAGTTTACAGCTGTGACAGAAACGTCTGTCATTTGCAGTGACAGCACAGCCCTAGAATACAGTCATCAGATGAAAACATAGATAAAAAGGGGAAAGTTGCCAAGTGCATGTTTTTTGTCGGGTCTGGTTTGTGTGTGTTTGAGGGGGCACAGGATACAGCAAGATTAACAAACTTTATAAGTGCAAGTGAACTTCAATATCATGCTGCTTGATGGGGTTTTTTTCCCCCACATCTTTTGCCCCAAGATACGGTTGTCAGTAGCAGATACCAGCATTCAGGATCTCAGGCCATAATTAAATCTTACCCTCTTTATGTGTCTTAAAATACTTTATCTAAGTGAACTGACTGATCCAGGTGGTTTGCTGCTGAAGGCTTTAGTCCCCAGAGGATGATGTGTTCTTGTAAATGCCCTCTCTCAGTGTTTTTTATTACTTTCTGTCACCATTGTATTGGAACCTTATGCTCCATCTCTAAATGGATGGGTTGAGACGACACGAGTGGAGTAACAAATTATGTTGTTTATACAGCACTTGAATAGRAAAGCTGTCCTTGTGATCAGGACCTGTATTCAGCAGTGAGATTCAATTTCCATCTTCTCTCTAGGTTTCCAACTTGAACCACCTTCAGAAATGACACTCAAAGAGCAAGTGTTCCATGCWTTCTGGAAAGTGGACTTGTCTTTGGGTGGCTTTTTGTTAGATATTAAAAAAAGAAAGAAAAAAGTTAAAGAGAAAATCATCAGCCCTTGATCTGTCCTTTGTGTCCCCAGCTCTTAAGGGAATCCTTTTGTCTTAACTTCTTTTACTAACACCCACCTTATGCATGCATCCTGCTGTAACAAATATTTGTCCAGTGCTCTACCCTGGATTTCTCCTGAGACCTGTTTTTTCATTTTTGTTGCAAACAACACCTCACCAAAGTATCCGTTTTGGTAAGGATTTCAGGACTTCCTGCTGGAGTGATTCCTTGTRGTATGAAGGATGATAAACTAATTTCTTCCCTTGTTTGGGTTTCTGCATCCCTTCCTCCTTGGAGAAGTAGCTTTCTGGGATCTCCTCTGTGTTGAAATGCAGACAGGGTGAGATCCCAAATGAGTAGTTCTTGGCAGAACTGCAGGCAATCCTCTGTAGTCCATAACATGTGGCAGTTATACCAGGGAGATAAAAAGTAGAAAAAAAGTTATGTTTGCATGTCTTTAAATGAACAGCTCCGTTTGTTGTGTTTATGTTGTACTTCTGTGTCCAGGCTTGATGTAAGAAACAAAACCAAACATTAGGGCTTTGTTGTGTGGTATGGAGCTGGTAGAATAATTCAGAAGGGAGACACCAAGGACTTACAGAAGCAGTTTCTTTCATCGTAGACTTACAGGTGTCAAGACCACGAGTTTCCTTGCTAGGTCAACCACGTGGAGCATCTTCACCCTGCCTCTGATACTGAAATCTTGAAGCAGAATGTGGCTGCACTGTGTGGGAAGGGGCTGTGCTCTCTCCAGGGGAAGTGTTGCTCATTTTCTAACTCCAGCCCTGTTTCAGCCTTGGGGAATTCCCTCTCTCACTCACCTGTTGAACTCCATGTAACCCCAACAGACAGCCCCCAGCACAGCCTGCCCCAGCTCAGCTCTTCCTGGGGCTTCAGGGAGCTGCAGGAGGTTTTTGAGGCTGGAGAGATGAGTTGCTGTTGAGCACCTCTGAGTTGCTTCTCAGCGGGGAGGAGAATGGGGCCTTGGTGGGGAGGAGAATGGGAAGAAATAATCCTCAGGGGTTGAGAGAAGAACAGTTTGATAATTGAAACAAAAAAAAAAAGTTAGTACTGTATCAGTACTATTAGTATTAATAATAATGGTAGTCATGAAAAGGGATGAGGAGCAAACCCAAGATAAACAAGTGGTTCTCAATATGGTTGCTCACCACCTCATGCCCAGCTTGTCCTTGAACWGGGATCAGCAAATCCCAGCCAGCTCCCCACAGTTTATATATTGGACACGGTGTTCTATGGTCATGGTTCTGTGGAATATCCCTTTGGCCASTGCAGGACARCTGTCCTGGCCATGCTCTGTCATGGCTTCTTGTGGAGATCCTCACTGACAGAGTGTGACACACTCGGTAGTCTTTGACTTAAAACACTACTGAGCAACAGCTAAAACTGCAAGAGTGTTATCAATGTTATTGTCACAGTAAACTCAAACCACAGAGCTGTACCAGCTACTAAGAAGTTTAACTGTCCCAGCCAAAACCAGAAYAGTTGCTAATTTCTGAGATCTCACTGTTAATCACTTCTAAATACATGCATTCAACAACTGAAAGCAAGCAAGCTTTCTCAAATTTTCACAGGCTGGGCAAAAAGAATTTGGGGTTTGATGTTTTGCCGTCACTTTATCCCTCTCCAAAACAGAGATGTGGAAGAACAGAAATAAAAAGATGAGAGTGTAGGTGAGGGTGAAAATTTTTTTATTCTAATATTTATTTAAGCAAAGTAAATCCACTAAAATACTACTTTCAGAGAAACAGCCTGAGGTARACAACTAGCAGCAAAGATGTAATTATGAAAAGAGAGTAAAGAAAGAGTAATAGATGATGATTATTAGTCTTAGCAGTTAYGCAGTGAGTTGGTATCTCAGTCAGTGCTTACTATGCAGTGTTCTTTAGAGAACTGAAGTTACTCTAAGGGCAGCAGGTCTGTTTTTCAGGATATTTAGTAACATTTCACTCAATGAAAAGYGTAATCAGACTCCTGCTGTCTTTCATACTGTGTTTTTAGGCGACACTATTCCACAATGGATGGGGGAGATGGTACTGCTGACCTTGTGATTAACAAGAGGTTCGTGTCTGAGGCAGAGCTAGAGGAGCGACGAAAGAGAAGGCAAGAGGAATGGGAAAAGGTCCGAAAACCTGAGGATCCAAAAGGTATGGGATAAATTGTAATAATCACAGGAAAAAGATCTGAGATTRTTTCAYTTTTGTGGAAAATAGAAATAAAAAGTAATGGCGTTTTATATTCTGTAGTTTCAAAAGGTTTTTACATGAAGGAACTGAGAACTGTTGGTGGTTTAGTGTTTCTAACATATGGTCTCCCTTCCTGATTTCGTTCCTTTCAGAATGCCCAGAGGAGGCATATGACCCACGGTCGTTGTATGAAAGGCTCCAGGAACAGAGAGAAAAGAAGCAGCAGGAGTTTGAGGAGCAATTTAAATTCAGTAAGCACCAGCAGCAAACTGCATGTGATTGTATGCAACAGTTGTACACAACTTCTKAGTAAAGGACACATCCGTGTGCCTTGTCTCCCTCTCTGAGAGGGAAACAGAGGCTTCTGGAGAGTGTTATTAAGATCCTGGATTTTTAAAGGAACACATTCTGGGCACTGAGAAAGCAGTGCACAGATGCAAAACTCAAAAGGTGTTTGCAGTTACAAAGCTGCGTTCTTGTAAGGTGTTGAATACCAAGCTTGTATTGCACATTAAATAGAATGAAAGYAAACAKAAAACCCCAAACAAGCTTGATAGCAATTCGTGGAAAAGTGGAAATGTAYTGTGGTTTTGTGACTCTTGAACTCATGCTTTAATACAATCTTGCTTGAATCAATCAAAGAAATYCTGTTAGAGCAGCTATTACATTTCCAAGCCATTATTTGACTAAAAGTGATTTGAGAGTTAAGATTATTATGTTGAAGAAGTAAATTTAAATGTTTTCATTCTTGAAAAGTAGATGTTGACTCTTCTAATGAAATGGGAACCTAATTTCTACTGATGTTTGAATTTCTAGTTTTATAGAAAAGCCCTTTGAAAAATGGAAAGTACAGATAGCAGCATTAATGCATTAAAGTCTCCAACTGGACCTACAAGATTCTTTCCAGCTAGAGAGTTTCCAGTTAACTTMAGTAAACTTTTGATCCCAGTCATTTTTGGTGACATGAGTAAGCAATGCTTGCCCAAGGAGCCACCCTAAAACTGACTGCTGTCAGCCTGAATGGGAAGGGCTTCTGATAACTATCTAAACTAATAGTTTTTCTTGCCCTTATATTAGATCTGCAACACCTTTCCTTTGGTAAATCAAGTTCTGGAATGGGAAACAGCCTTGAGAAGTAAATCCACTTCTTTTAAGGCAACCACAGTAAAATATCAGATACCAGCCAACCTGGAGAACAAAACCTACTGCAGACTGCTTGGGTGGGAACCTCAATAATGTCAGCTCAAAGGACCTCAGTGACTGCTCCTCTTAGTTGGCAGATGAGGCAGGCAGCAAWTTAAATTAATTCATGTCACTTGCTTCATAAAATGTCTGGAATTTCACTATTTTTGCTCTCTGAAGAGCCCCTCAGCAGTAGTAGTGAGTGCTACAAGTTACTGCTTAAAGATTTATGAATGAGCTCTGCATGAGTTGGAAGGAGCAGAGATTGGCTTTTATAAAATAACCCCAAACAACAATTGATTTCCAGAGCTTTTCTGTCAAAGACACAAGTTTGCCCATTATCAGTGTGAATGGATTTCCTGGTTTGCCCTTAATTGACTAGGGCTTGCCTGTGTGGRTGAAGATTAAACATGTGATGATTTCATGTAAAAGCCTAAAAATCCTCATATGAAATTACACTTTAAGGAAGACTAAAGGTGATGTTGGGCTAAGATTTCTGGGCATGACTACAAACAGCATAATTTGGTCTTTTTAGAAATATTTTTTATTATTGTAATTAAATCATTTGCTCAAGAGACGTTGAACATTTKCAGAACAGGAAATAAAAGACCTTCCTGCTGCACTAGCATGTACTTTCCTTAAAGTAGGGTAGCATGTTTAGAAAGAATTTGTTTTTATTTGGAAATTAGGAGTTTTCTTACTTCTACTTTTTTATTTTTGAATAGGTGTTRAAACCAATTAGGTACAAATTGTTTGCTCTAAGAAAATGTACTTCCTCTTTTGAGGCAAGATTTTTTGGGGAAGAAATAGTGTGGGTTTTTAGTTATTGGTTGGTTTAAGAACATTCTAAGGAGGCAGGCTTAAACTTGGTGTCTGAAACCAAAACAACAAATTTCTTATTTCTTTATTCAGAAAATATGGTAAGAGGCTTAGATGAAGATGAGACACATTTCCTTGATGAGGTTTCTCGGCAGCAAGAGCTACTAGARAAGCAACGAAGGGAAGAAGAGCTGAAAGAACTAAATGAATACAGAATATCCTTTGCACTAAAATGGCTGGTGGTTACACAGAGGAGGGTAAGAGTGGGCTGTAGTTTGTTCTGTCAGTTGAYATTCTTTTTATAAAACTGCTTTACAGAACATGTACAATCATACATTTTCAAAGTTTAAGAGTTTCATTGTAGCTTTGATAGACCACTGTAGTGTTTGATACTCCCCCTTCAACTTCCACTTACTTGGTACTTTTCTTTCCTTCTCCCCTTGTCATTGTTTTGGGGTTTGCCATGATTTGGCTTTTTTCTGTTATTGAGGTAATGAAATACCATCACTAAAAAGATAAAAACATAAAGAAAAACTAGCCTATTATTTCTAATATTTTGCTTTTCTCTTCTTATGGAAAACTAAGTGCTCTTTTTTTAATTTTATATTGTCTGCTTTTAACATATCTGCTTGAAATAATGTTTGAATTGCTCTCTCTGTTACTCTTCTTGAAGTATTAGATACTTTATCCCTTGTTGATACSTGCAGGATGAAAAATTAAATACATCTGTGCAGATGTGCTGACTTTCTTCTGGGAAGGCAGTGCCCATGGAGCCTCGGCTCCTTTGGGTAATGTACACTTGTAGGCAGTACTAAGAGCAGGACAGTTTGGCTTTACTTTTAAATGCCTAAATTTCTTGAAGATATGCTAGAAAATCATAAAGGATGCTTTTTCTCACTAATCAGTGCCAATTTTTTTCTCACTAATTAATGCCAGTCAAGGGAGGTTGGAATGATTGGAGGATTTCTGTGCTAAGGAAAATACTTTTTTATTTTTTGAGGTTTACTGAACCAATGCAGAAGGCAATGGTTTATTTGTCTCCATTGCTTTTGAGTTATGGATGAACAGCACATGAGTTCTCAGGGAAGTTTTAGTATAAATGAAAAAGTTTGTGGACACAAGGAGGTGACCAAAACCAGTCAGCAAATAAATTTGAATCGTGCTGATACTACAGAGATTGGCCTTACCTTGTTAGGCAATGATTTACAAATTGGAGCATGTGTCCTGTGAAGAGCATCTCAAGGAATGTGTTTATGAAAAAGCAATCCTGATGCACTTTTTTAACTTCAGAAATAGGCTGGAGTTAGTTGGTGAATTTGGAGTACTTTCTTGATTTGCTGGATCTAATAATGAGATACTCATGGGATATATTTAGTTTGGGTGATGGTTGCTCGCGGGGCTGGCTGATCCAGGGCTGTGCAGTGTGAGGCTGTGCTGTGGGAGCAGCTGACAGCTCTCGTTGTGTCACCTACATCTGGGGTGAACCATACCAGCCCAGAGGGAATCTTAGGTTGTCTTGAATTAGCCACATGACACACAGATCCCTGAATGGCCTGGTCAGGATGTACAGGCCATCTTACCTCAGCCTTTGCAGTCTTAGTAATATCAGTGGCTCTGAATCCAAAGTGTTGCTGTAAAAATTAAACTGTAGAGCTTGCTACTGATGGGATGGAGGAAGGGAGAATGTTTCATAGTCGCTTCATCCCATGAGAAAGTCAAAGGTGTTGCCTGTTTAATTTTATTTTTTAAATTCTTTTAATTTAACCATAGTATTTCAAGCAACCTCAGAGCAGAATGACTTGTGTTTGGAATTYTTAGTGGTGTTCTGAAATGCAAAAATGTGTTTTGCATCTGCAGTTGTTACTAATGGTTTATCACTGTACTAGGTAAACGTGCTGCMTCTATGGGTACTGTTTAAATGCTCTTCCGAATTAATAAGAAGAATGTCACCCCAATGGGTTTCATTATTTGCTCTCTTTTTTCTGGTATAACAGCTAATTTAAGCTACCCAGAGGCATGATTTTCATGGTAAAAACTGCTTCAATAGTCAAGTACAGAGATTTTTTTTTCAATTTTTCCTAATTTTTCAGGCTGAACWATCACAAAATTATACATCTTCAGGATAAATATGCCTTAGAATATTTTAATGTATTCTTGAGCATAAGAAATAATATGCATGGATGAATAGGAATTTTTCTTCCTCCTGCATGAACAACTAGGTTGTTTGCTCCTTAGCCTATCCAGACTCCCCTGTTGTGACAGTAATTTAAGWTTTCCAAATATTTTTTAAGCCATTTCCAAGAACTATTTGAGAACAAGATCATCTTGTCTCCACTGCTATCTAAATGTAGGAACAGTCCCCCTCCAAGAAGCTGGCTTTACTGAAGGACAGCTTGTTTAGTGCAGTTGATATTTAAGATTGAGAGGTTTATTTCTAATGTTGTCTTCCTGGGAGGGAACACTTCTTGGCTGGCTATAGCATTACATTTGCTAATGACAGCAGGATGTATAAAATACCTACTAAAAATGTGCTGTGCCTTTCTAGTTGAGGAGTTTTAGGAGAATGCCATCCTTGATGGAAGCAAAAAGCCTGTAATTTGGTATCTTTTAAAAGAAAGGCCTTTGAGTTCCTCAGTCAGGCTTAGAATATAATGAGGTAATAGACCTAAATGTGAATGTTGAACACTGCAGTGTGTGGAAGAATTGTGTGGCAACATCAAACCGTGTTCAACACAAAGAGCTTTCAGATGGCTTCAGATTGCCACAGGATGGCACTCCTGTGCCATCTCAAAAATAGATAAAACTGAGCAGTGGTTTGGGCTGAGAAGACTTTTGGTTGAARTAGGGAGCAGTCTGTGTTAGTGCTGTTTTCTTAGGAAAGTCAAATAAGAAAGGGCATCTGAACATTCCTGACTGTAAAGTGATTGGAGACTGTATCACTTCAAAGCTAAATCTAAGAGTTTTTGATTTGTAGATGTTTAGTGGGGTAAAAAGCTATGACTTCAAATCCTAGGGCCATCAATATGAAATTGACTGTCCAATATATGTCTGCAGTGACTGGGGCAATTCCAACTGGTGGGATTGTAGTTGGAGGAGAAACTGTTAGAATACTACATTTGAGTTTATAAACACACTTCTAAACTAGGTTAATTTGCCTTTGCTTGTGCAGTTTAAAATTTTTGCAGAAATTTGTGTGACTCTCCTGGCACCTCATCTACAAACAGGGTCTTTGGCAGATCTGTCTTCACCAGATACAGCTGGACATTGCTATCAGCTCCTGCCACAGGGGATGTGTTCAGTGTGTGYAGGTGTGCCCTAATAACAAACAGACCCAGCTCCTTCTTATCCCATCTGAAAACCTCCTTAAGCTTCTCCACTTCATTATAGGTTTCAGCTGCATTCCACCTTGCTAACACTGTTTTAATCTGCCTAGCTTTTCTGTGCAGTTGCAATCTTCTTGGGTGAATCTTGGAYCACATTCCCCCTTAACCAATCTGTYTCCTTCCTCCTGGCATTGGTACTCAGACCACCCTTGTGGCCCTTACAGAGAGATAAGCTGAAAAGGCAGAGTGCTAAARGCCAAACCCAAAAAATAGGACTGTTCTGTCTTGCTAAGCTGATATCTGCTGGGCTCAGCAAAAAGAGGGTTTGAGGAGTGGAAGTGAACATATTGCTGCTTAGCTTTTCTGTTAAGGATTAGGGTTTGGAGCAGCAGAATTGAATTACAAATGTGTTGATCCCCATAGAAGGGGAAGTACTGCATTGCCTGTTTGGTTTGTTTGTTTTGCTCCAGCCTGACCTTTTTGCTTTTCTAAGGCCTTTAGGAAAAGGCAGGATGGTGGATATGTTCATGGGTGCTGGATGTTGTGTGTTACACCTTTCTGGCATCAGAACAGTAGCTCCCAGGCTGCTGCCTGGACATCTTCACAGGGAGAGCTGGTCCTGATACCTGAGAGAGCTCTGACCCCAGAGGATGAAGTATCTTCTCTTTTGGCTGAGGGTACCAGCTGAATGTCATTACAAATAAGTTTATTTTGATAGAATATGTGAATGAACTTTGGTTGCTGCTGTCAGCAGAGCTGGCTAAATATATCAGGGAGGAAATGTCTGTTCTCCCCGTTCCTTCCCAGTTGATCCTTAACCCTTAATTCACAGCACTCTCACTAAAGTGGGAGTCAGTATGGACCCAAAGAAGGAAGCTGAGAAGAAATTGCCCATGAAGTCAGTGGAAAACAAGAACAAATTTTCTCAGGCAAAGCTGTTGGCAGGAGCTGTGAAACACAGAAGGTTAGTTTCACACGTCTATAAATTCATGAGGGAACGGAACCCAGTTAGCAGTGTAAAGGGAGACAGGCCAAAACTGCCTCCAGAGAGTGAGGTGTAAACCTTAGCCCTAAAGAAAAAWGGGGGAAAGTATAAGAAAAGACCAGTCTTGTTTCTATAGGCTCTCACAAACTGTGGGGAAAAACATGAAGCAATTCAAATAGATAAGCGTGTGTAAAGGAAGTGGGTAGRCTCTTCGTTTTAGAGTGCCAGGCTTGGGCAATCCTGCTTGGGGATCTAGAGGCAATCTCTTCTATATCTGTTTGTAGATATCAGTGTCACCTTATGCAACTTCATTCAGGGTTGCCTAATTTATTAGCCAGTTTTACCTGTGTTTAAAATGGGTTGTTTTAATTGCTGCTGGGGACAGCATGGGGAAGACAAGGTTACAAGGGAGGAGCTTTGTGTACCAGTTTGGTCCTGAGGACATCAGAGACACTTCCTGTGTTCTTCAGTGATTTGCATTGATACATCAACACTCTTTCCATGCCAGGGAGGTGGCAGCTGGGTTTGTGATGTGTTTGCTGCTTTGATCTTGGCCTGCAAACACAGCTGCTGGTGTGCTACAGGTTATGGAGAAACCAGGCATGGGGGACAAGACTTRTTTCCCACAGATGAATCATCTAATACCTAAGATGATTACTGACATCTCAAAATTCAGTGTGTTCGAATCATCTCAGAGAATGCGAGATTATTTTAGAAGCTTATCTTGTAGGGTGATGTTTAGTCCCAGTAGAGCAGTAATTGCATGTCTGAAAACTGAAGAAAGCACTTCAACCACCTAATGTCTGTGGGGTTGGGTGATAGTTTGGGTTTGGGAAGGCAGAGAAGAAAAACCCTGAGCTGATAACAAGCAACCAATAATGTTGGTTTTGTCTTGTAACTCCTAGTCCTTAACCCAGTAGGATGYAGAAAAGGAGCTGGCATGTGCTTAATGGTACTTCTAAAGTCTGCAGATGGCATCTGTTCAAAGAGAGCATCTTAACTGACATGTCAGAGCCATTGCAGACTTGCTTTGCAGTCTTCTATTTTTGCCATCTTATCTTTTATTGCAAAGTGGCCCAAAGCAAGTGTAGTGTGAGCTCAACATCTGCTCCCTGAGCTTTGTAATTTCCTGTAAAGGAYGTATTACTATTAAAAGCTCTCTGCACAGAATAACCTTTCATCTGTACTGCATGTTCTGAAAGAACATGCAGGGAYAGGAAAGAGTTAATGCATAATAATGCTCATGCTTCATCAGTTCATCACRGCTGAATCTGGGAATTTGTTTATGTGGATGACTTAGAATTGGGAACATGCAGGAAGGGGGGRAATCTGTGCAGTGACAGGGGAGGGCTATGGAAGCTCTGAACAGTCAGAAGTCCAAGATATGCTCCTTTATTCCAGTGCCACTTGGGTCCCTAAAAAGACCTTTCTAGACATTGCTGCTGTGTGAATTGCTGCTAAACTGTCTGGGCTTACTGGGTGCAAGATTTCTAGATGTTTTAGAACAGGCTCTAGGTGATTGAAGGAGGGGAAGGGAGCCCTGGAAGGGAAAAGGCATGGATGTTGGCACCAGCAAGCATGGTACTCATCCACATGTGCAAGGCTGTGGTCATATGGGTGTCTGAAGCTCAGGTAGTCATTCCCAATCTCCTGTGGGGTACATCCTGCTGAACAGGCAGCTCTGGGTTGCTGTGTCAGGGGTTTGACTTGGACTGCAGGGGACATGTTCCTTCCCAGTTAACAAGTGATACTTGTAGTGTAGGTGGTTGATGCTTCCTTAGAGCCTGCATGTTCCCCAAGGAGCCTCCTTTAATGGCAATTGGAAGTGGTGATGGTCATCAGGGGACCCTGCTGGCGTTTGCTGTAGCATTTGAGGCAAAGATGTAACAATGACTTCACTAATTAAGTGGTTGTCTWTGAGGAACAAGACACTTCCTTATTTTTTCCACAGTTCAGATGGTGGTAACAGTGTGAAGAGGTTGAAACTAGACACTGACCATGACGAAAAGAATCAAGGTATGTCCCARATTCTGCRCATGRGAAGCTSTGTGTCTGTCACTGAACAGCAATTGACTTGGGGTTAAATCTCATAGAGGTTTTGCTTTCCTGTTCTTCCACTGGGCAAGACAGCCCAGACTTTGGCTGGCACTTTCTCTCTTGAAAGCAGTAGAAACGGTAAAGCAGGAAAATAGGGCTGCAGGGAACCTCTGCAAGTTATCAGGATGTCCCCTGCCCAAACCAGTCCTGACAGATGTTTGTCTAAGYTGTTCTTAAGTCTCCACAGATAGACTGTGCACCTTCCTTAGAGAGTTTATTCTAATGCTTAACTGATTTAATCTTATTTAACCTCATAACTAATGCAGTCTCCTTTGGTGCATTTCAAGCCTAATGCTTGTTCTGTGGGCAGGAGACACTGAGAACAGATCATCCCTTTCCTCTTCACAGCAGCATTGGATGTATTTGTATACATCCACTTTAGCTTTATGCTCTGAAGTGATTCAGTCCATCCTGAAATCAATTTGTTTCAGAAAATTGTGGGGAACTAGAAGAATTAAGTCGTGTTTCAGCTTTAGCTGTCAGGGCTGCAGTTGACTTGCTGTCAAGATACTCTGACACAAATCGGGTGAGCTGCAATTGTATAACAACAACCCAAGGSGCTTCCTGAATCTCCTTCTGTTCAGTAAACTTTCAGAACAGCAGAAATAATTAATTAGCCGTGGAAGATGGGAGATGTTGACTAGCAGAACGATGGAATAAAACTTTTTCTCAACTATGCTGTTACATTGCAAAAAAAAATATACTCAATTACTCAAAGCAGAGCCATTTATTCTTATTTAGTGGGTTTGGTAYTTGACAAGCATCAAACTGACAACTTTAGAATAAAAAATCTATAATGCCGGCATAGAGCTGGGCTTAAACTAGTGATGAGAAAAAAAAAATCCCCTGAGGTAGCAATTCCTTCCTGTCAGAATGGCTTTATTACAGCATAAAGCTGCCTTATGCTTTAATTAAATCCTGAAATCATCCGCCGCTTATGTGGGAAAAGCAGGTGAGTGACACGTGGCGGTTCCTGGGCTGACTGAGAACCGTTTCCTGCACTCTGATTTTTGACTGAGGTTTCTCTCTTCCAGAAAAGCCCTCCTGTGTTCCCTTGGGGAGCAGCTCAGTGGGAGGCTCCACAGTGCACTGTCCCTCAGCCGCCGTGTGCATCGGGATCCTGCCTGGCCTGGGCGCCTACTCGGGGAGCAGCGATTCAGAGTCCAGCTCAGATAGTGAAGGCACCATTAATTCCACTGGGAAGATTGTCTCTTCTGTCTTTCGTGGCAACAGTTTCTTTGATGGTCCATAACAAAATCCCTCCGTGTGTAATGTAGCGCAGAATATCTTCCAAAGCCCTGATGGATGCTTGTTGCATCCTTCTGCCCCAAATATAATCTTTCTAGCTAACCTCTCAACTTTAATACACTCAGATACTCCTAAAGTAACTCATTATTTCCCCCCCCACCCACAATTCTTCATTTCTGGGGTGCATACTGAGCCTGGAAGAAAAGCTGCCATTGTAAAGCAGAAGGCACACCTAACCATGTAATAAAGGTCTGAGGGTATGGAGGAGAGTGCTTTATCTTTTACAATTCTTATGGGAAGAATTATGTTGATTTAAGAAGTTTATACAAGACCAACAGGCAAAAAATAATCACTTGAAGCAGTGAAGTCTTGTAGAAGCAGCCATGTGTTCTGTTTTAAAATGTCATTTTTATTCTGTATTTGAAAAATGGGGGCAGAACCAAATTTGAGCAGATGGTGAAGTGTAGATTGCCATGACACTGTAAAGAAGTTTTAGTGTTACATGATTAAAGACGTTCTGAATGCATTTTTTTATCCCTGCTTGTGCCATTCATAATTGTTCTCATTTCATTAAGCAATTACTGTTCTAACCAGCCAGCCTTTCCCTCAAACTACATCCAGGAGAGGTGTAGGCCAGTTTCCCACAAGAGCAAAAGTGGTGATGGAAAACTTGGTCTGAGTGAGTTTACAGGAACTGCAATTGGTCATTCTGATCAAGGGCTGCTGCTCCAGCACCAAGGCTTGGCAAGTCATCCAGCTTTTCAGCAGCAGTGTCCTGAAGGGCATGAATCCAGAGCTGGGATTCTCCTCTTCAGCCAAGCTCCTTTGTACAGAAGCTGGAGAACTGCAGAAATAGGGCTGGGGGCCCATCCTTTGAACCTCAGTGTGCTGATGGCAGTTTGGAGGGTTGGAACAGCTCTGCTCRACTGCTCAGAGGTGGAAGTGTCTGTGCAATCCTGCTCTGTGTGGGACAGCATGTGGTCAGTGTGTACAAAAGGGCAGYTTGATGTGACACTCTGAGGGAGCAGCTGGGCTAAAAGAGAGAAAACAAGGCCTGCAATGGATTCATGCCTTAGCATGAGTGTTGAACTTTCCAAAGGAAATGGAGACAGTTGTGCTTGCAATGAACCTATCCTTAGCCAAATACCCTTTCTGTTTGCACAGCCCTGTTCCACAGTTAGATCCTTACAAATGTCCTGTATTTCCTCCCCTGTCCTGGGCAGCCTGGCACCTCCTGTGTTTGCTCCAGAGTTGCTCCTCCTCTGTCTACCATAATTATGGCACTTGCAAGGTGGAAAATAAGTAGATCTCATGCAGCCTCCAAATGCTTTGCTTTTGTGACTTTCATCTTACTGAGCTATGGAGTGAAATKGAGTTGGTGCACAAAAARAAAAGCATGTTTATTTTATTAAAGTTGCATGGGCAAGAGCCTCAAGGAGTTGGTATGAGAGCTGTTGGTGTTCTTCCCTGGCATTAAATGAGATCAATAATCTTGACTGTAGAGTCAGAGCTGTGAGCACGGTCGGGCTGTTTTCCTGAGTGGTATCCTGCACAGCTGCAGTCAAAATGCCAATTTAGACWGAAATTTATAGTGGGAGTTGCCAGCCAGTTGTGGAAGATGTGGTGAGGGTGGGCTGCAGGTGAGATAGTGTTTATGTGGARCCACACAAGGCCAGGAGGAGCCATAGTCCAAGAGAAGCAGATGTGAGGGCCCTSTGCCTTCCTGTTCCTGGAAGAATGGGATAGGACATTTGGGGAATGCCTTTGAGTCTGAGTCAGCTCTGCTGTTCCAGGGCCTGGCCCTAAACAAAGCAGAGCTGTCCCAGCTCCACCCCACCGTGTGTCCCATTCACCTTCGCACATCAGAAGCCATCTGACATTCCAATGCTGCAGTGCACTGAGAGATGTGCTGGCAAGTGCAGAGTGCATGGGATGGAGGATGAATTGGACCTGAAAAGGGCAGCTGTGGCAGTAACCTTGCCCCAGGCCGACAAAGCCAGACCAAGGCTGGTTCTGGCTGGCTCCAGCAACTCATTCACTGGTGGATTTAGATTTTGTTTTTGTTATTTTTAAGAAAAAAACCATGACTGCATAGTATGTGCTTCATCCCCTCCCCAGGGACAGCTCAATAAACCGCTTGTTGTCTGTGCTAGTTGTTAAAGCTTCACTGAGGTGTTAAAAAAACCCGACAAACCCCCYACAAACACTCTACTAGCACAAGAGCTTACGAGCTCCTGCAGCTGCATGTGAGGCTCTCTTATGGAAATCTAAAAAAAAATAATTTTTTTTCCAAAGCCACAGACTTCCATCTGGAAGCTGAGCTGGATATGGCATTATTTTTAAACAAGCCACCCTTCAAAGGCTGCTTCTCCCTTTGGAAATGGGTGAAATTTGGAAATGTTTATTTTCCCTTCCAGGAGGTTTTGCAGAGCAAACGTTTCACAGAGCAAGTCCCACCTCTCCCAAGGGATGGATGGGGTCTCACCCAGTGCTGTGCTCGGAGTGGGCTCATTGTGGGACTGACTGGGTGCTGGTGGCAGCTGCTGGGTGGTCGGTGACAGAGAGCACAACCAGTAGCACACGAGTGTGCAGAAAGTGCTGCAGGCTTTATATAGGGACAGCAAACTCTCACCTCAAAAGCTTCCATTAATGGGGAGGAGYGAGGTCAAGTCTAGTCGAGTTTGGAATACCCTGGTGATCCCTGCCGGATGTTCAACAGCATACTCAGCTTCAAAAGACTTTAATCTAGTTAGGAACAGCAGAAAGCAGCAATTAGCACATTGCTGATGAGCAGCTCAAAGGAGCTGCTGGAGAGCAGGATTTCATTACCCAGCCCATCTTCTCCCAGGCAGCAGGGAGCTTTTGTTACTCAGACTTGGAAAATTTTCTGGAGTTGAAGCAGCAGTGAACCGTGAAACTCCCTTTGATGGCTTGTGGTGGGGTCACCGGGGCTTTCCCAAGCACACGCACTAGGCCCCTGCCCTCAGCTCAGGCAGGCAYTAAAGGGATGCTGCCTTCCCCAGGATATCCACCTTCAATAAATCTTGGTCTGGGATGCTGCACTGACAGGGTGGGGTTGATGCTGGGACACAGCCAGGAGGGCGACCGAGGGACCAGGGTGACTCCAAACACCCAGCACTGCTGACACTGCGAGCTGCTCCCACACCTTCCCATCTCGGAGACTCTTATTTTAAATGTCCAAGTTTCTTTATTAACCTGAGTATAACAAATATAACATGTACACAGTATAAAAATGAACACGGAACCTGACAGATGTACAGCTACAACACAAATACATGAACTATACAACGACCAGTTCATTGAATGACAATAATATATTAAGCATTTCATTGCTTGGAAAAAGCAAGTTTTGATCATAAAAATTGTATCCTGTACCACTGAAATTATACAAAGTACATTCAATACTGAAAAGTGACTCAACAGAACAGGACCAAGGCATGGCCTGGCTGCTTAGTGTTACCTTGGGCCAAGACTGTACAAAATTAATCCAGACGCTTTGCTGGGATGAGTCTTAAGAACTTAGCAATTAAATTAAGAAGTACAAAGTGTTTCAGGGAGGGTATTCTTCTCTTAAAAGAACGTGGAACGTGCTTTTGGCAGGACCAACAGGCTTCGGCAACATGCAGAGGACGCAGCCTGGCACAGCTCTACGCAGGCTCYGAGTTGATGGGTGGCAGGTTTTGGTGCTTAAAGTACTGCACAACTTGCTGGGGCAGCTCTGCCAGCACAGCTTTGGCCAGGGTCTCCTTGGGGACCTGTGAGCCAAAGGGAACAAGCACCAGTGTTAGAACAGCCACAAGGAACCGACTGAGCAAACACGGCTGGGCTGTCCCCAACTCCACGTCTCAGCGTTTCATTTAATACCCCCTAGAATCTACTGATAGTCACCATTTTACACACCTGGGATTATTATATTCTCTACTAACCCTTCCCTCCAGGAGATAATTCACTGGTAGGGAGCAATAAAACATCCTGGGTAGGTCAGAAAAAMCAGGCATGAGTAGCAGGAGGTGAAACAGAAAGACCCAAGTAGTTGCAGAAAAGAGGAAGATAACCAAGCCACATCCTTGAAAATCAATCCCRTGCCAGCAACCCAGAGCTGTCTCCTGGGTGATTGCAATGGACCATCCCACGATTGCTCCCCTTGCAGGCTGATTTCCAGGCTTGACACCCCGTTTCTCCCGTGATCCCCTCCCCGCTGCCCTCACTCACGTTGCGGAAGTTGCGGAAGGGCACGAACTGGACGATGTCGCGCACGGCCTCCTCGCCGGTGTGSGAGTGCAGCACCCGGCTGTCCCCRTCCAGGAACTCCATGGCAGCAAAGTCAGCATTGCCCACGCCCACGATGATGATGGACATGGGCAGCTTGGACGCCTGCACCACGGCGTGCCTCGTCTCRTCCATGTCGCTGATCACCCCGTCCGTGATGATGAGGAGGATGAAGTATTGCTGGGCAGGGGAGGGGAAGGCAGAGGGTCAGATCCAGTGCCAGTGCACCCTCACTGCAGCCAGAGCCTGCACGTGTCGAGGGGTGGCAGGTCCCCTGGGGATTTGGGGGTGAGGTTCACCGTTTCYCAGAACAGCTGGCACCATTCCCTTTAGCAATATCCAGAAATTCAGATGTTCCTATTCCCCCTGGTTTTTGAAAGATCTTAAAACAAACAACAAAACAGCTCCCACTCCAAAATATCTTTCTGAATTTCTGATTTACTGTACTTAATGATGCAAAAAATCCTACTTCTAAACTGTACAGGGCTTCTGTGTCAGGGCCAGGAGGAGTTTGGGGTTGGGACATGAACCCCAAACTGGCTGGGAGATGAAATCCCCGCTCCTGCCTGCACACAGTGGGGTGTGTTTTGGGGTGCTCCCCATTGACACGTCCCTGAATTGATGGGGAGCATCTCCTGTACTGAACTGTGAGGCTGTGGGGACACCCCATGCTCAGGGTTTGTCCATCTCCTGCACACAGCCATGGGATGCACAGAGGGATGCAGAGGGTACCAGAGAGCTGTGGGATGACAGAGCAGCAGCAGTGGAACCTCTCCCCTTCCCCTGGAAAAGGAGGGGACCAGGTCCTGCAGAGCTGGGGGAGGACAGATGGACAAACACACAGACAGATGGACGGATGGTCCTGCTGGGCTCAGCTCAGCAAATCCAGAGCATGTGGATCCCCACAAAATCCCATCTCCTCCATCCCCAGGGAAAGTAACGGCTCAGTTTGGGCACATTACAGAGCTTGCGTGTGCTGGAGAAATGATGAAAMCAAGCACTTAAGAGCATTAAAGCCCTTTGTTCCGCTCCTCATTCTTTCCATTTCCTCTGAAAACCACTAGAGCAGCGTCCTGGAAAAGCAAAAGAGGGAGTGCTGCCCCAAGCCTGTTTTTCTGGTCTTCCTCCAGCCCACATCTCCTGAAACCTTCCCTAATCTTCTCTTGATGCTCTCCAGTGCTCTCCTCCAAGTACAAACAAGGCTGGATCAACCTTAAAACACAACCTGAGGAACCAGGTGTGAAGGTTTTCCCAAGCCAGACCCTTCCCCACTCCAGCCCCTTTTGATGCATTAGCCCTGCCTGCATAGCATGGCACAGAGTTTAGTTTTTTTCCAAAATACAAACTTTTGAGAGAAAATCATGGTTAAACATCAGTCTGTAGAGCAGGACTGCAATATCTGAGACTGGAGGATAAGACTAAACTTCAGGAGAGGACCTGCACTGGTCATAACTGGAAGCAGGACTGGGACCTGGYCCTRTGTGGGAAYCAGAATGGGAGGAAGAGTATAAAAYGTTGAGGGGAGCAGCTGATAATGAYTTTAAGYTGATTCTCCCCTTCYCTGCCTGGTCTCTCTGCTGGAAACATGGAAAGGGCTATTTCCCTTTGTTCCTTTYTTTCTGTGAAATCCGTAACAGGATCAGAGAAAAATGCTGGAAAGCATGAAGGAAAAGGGGTGGGGAGGCAGAGCTCATCAAATGTTTATCACAACGTATTTCAGAGGTCAAGAGGAGTGAGAGCTGATGCTGGGGATCAGCCTCAAAGCCCAGGGGCTGTGCAGGGGTGATGAGAATCACTATCAGCACGGGAGCAGTGGACACGGCCAGAGAGCATCAGTGGGAGATTCCCCAAGGAGCGATGACAGTTTTGGTGGTGTCAGTAAATGACAGTGGGACWGGTGGCACCCAGCCAGGGTGGCACCTCTGCCATGCCCCAATCAGGGCTGCTGGTGCACAGGGATCATGGAGGGTCYATGGCACACCAACCCAGCAGCACTTGCCCCCTTTCTCCTCCTTTCTCCTCCTTTTATTGTTCAAATGGCTGATCTCGGCATCCATGTGGGCTCCTGGGATGATTCCCGAGCCTTTGCTAMCGATACCAGCAATTAGGCTCGGGTGGGTGAGCAGGACT